GTGAGCAGTGAACACTTTCCAGCTGTCATTGCACAGGCTGCTTTGGACAGGACACAGAGAAGACAATACCATTCTTACTGATGGGTTATATAAGGATTTGCACTAACGTGTCCCCTGGTGGGAAAAAATAGGAATAAAATGGGATTTTAGGAACTATATTAATAATAAATGATAGCATGGTAGTTAATAGATGTCTGTCTGTAATTCCATTATACTCCAAGTGCAGGGGAAACTTCATTTAATGTGGAAGGATTCTCATTTTTCCAGAGCTGTAATGCAGCGTGCAGTTAAAATTAGGCTGCCTCGTTAATTGTCCAAGTATATGGTGAGAATTACTGCAGCCAGCTTCAGTGCAGGATTAGCTATGCCTCTGCAGGGGAGGCCATGCAGAAAGGCCCAAGGAGGGAGAGCAGCTCCATCAGGGCCCCTTTGCCAAGACCTCTCCCTGGGAAGAGGGGTGCTGGTGGGTAGGGGAGGCATGTGGGGCAGTTCTCCTCCTTTCTCTCCCTACCTGCTCCTGCTCAGCAGGAGCCCCAGAGCACTGTCTGTGGACTCCTGTGCTGCAGAGTGTGTCCTGCTTGAGATGGCTGCAGAATGAGCTCCCCTTGTGAAGGGTGATGGGTATCCCCACTCCCTGATGCCTTCCCCAGTTCCTAAACTTAGCCATACTGGACCAGGGTAAAGGATGGGCAGAAGTCACCTCAGTCCCTAAGCCCTGAGACAGTATGGGTATTCAGGAACTAGGATCCCATAAGGCTTTTCATAGCTATGGGATGTAGTTTCTACAGAGAAAAATCATTTTAAATTTAAATTAACACAGCAAGGTTGAAATGCTCTGGAATGTGCAAAAGAAAGCTAGAAGAAATTTCTGGGAAATACTTTTTTCTCATCTCATTCCCACTATTCCTTTTCCTGTCTCCTTCTCAGTGTCAGAAACTTGTCCTTCAAAAATCACCCACTGAGGAAACCAGATCCTTTTGCAGGATGTAAAGGGAGCACATGAGGGAAGGGTGAGTGAGAGTTCTGCCTTTCCTCTTCCAGATCAGAGCTGTATAGCATATGCCAGGACAGCAAGTCAAGCTGTTGTGGACTTTCCATAGGACCCCAACCAGCTTTTATTTAAAAACAGTAAAAATGTTTATTTGGAGTGACTACAAAAGCCTTCCTGAGGGTTCATTAATGAAGCTTAACTGTCCAATCTGCATGTGAGCACTAGCATAGAACCTCAGCTGAAAGCTCCTGGTTCCCAAGCATTGACTAACCCAAGACTGTGAATCAACACAAACACAACCTTACCCTGTGGGGAAGAGGGAGGAGGAAGGGGACAAAGATCTGGGATACCTGCAGGCCAGAGTGCCCAGGGAGTCAGGGGGAGCTTTGCTAGTGTAGGAGCAGCATGGCCAGACAGAAATATAAAGAAGAGAGGATGCTAAGAAAATTTGTCAGATGTTTGTGTGCTGAGGGGCCTGTGAAGTCTAGAGAGTGCAGAAGGCAGGAACTCTATTACAGCACAACTCTCAGACACACTGCTTTAGTGTATGTGTGTAGCTGTCTGTGTTACTCTGAGTATTCCCCCTTTCCATATACTTACAAAAATTAAATTCACAAAGTTGCCTGACCATGCAAAAAGGACAGTTCTAATAAGCTTTAAAGAAACATCTTGCCAGCTGAGGTGCACAATGTCCACTGACACACGGGGATATTTAGCTGCCTGATCAGATGCTTTTGAAATTCCACCTGGATGCCTCTCTGTCTGCATATGTGCCCAGTATCTCTGTAAATCTGATCTTCTCCACCACCTTCTTTGTCACTCTGTTCAGACCTCCAGGTACCAGACTTTGTTATCCAAATCTGGATTCTTTAAACTATGGGGAAGTGCAACACCCGTTTATCTGACTAAGGTGAGTGTCTGAGGCAACCTGAGATTTGAAACAGGTTACCTTTTCTCCTTAGAGATGTAGAAGATGATGCAATTTTAAAAAGCATTTCATTTTTTTAAGAAGAACTACCTTATTTAATCAATTAGAGTTTAGAAAACTAGAATTTAATTAAACTCAGCCACTAAATAAGGTAGTAGAAAGAAACTGTTGACTACGTTGCACCTAAAGACAAACGATGAGTGACTGGCAGCTTATGTTTTTTCAGAGGAAGTTTAGAAAGAGACAGAATTTGCAGAGCTAGATGATTTTGCCTGACACACACAAATGCCTTCCCAGTTTCCCCTGGACATCTACAATGAGAACAAATGTAATTTAGTATGAGTGAGGTGCTGGTGAAAGCAAAGCAGTCAAACATATTTGTAAGAAGTGTCCATCAAAATGCTCAAAAAAAAATGGCTAGACTGGAGTAAAAGCTAAGTTTTCAATAGACAGTTCCTAAACATTCCCTGAATTAGTGTATCTAATTCAGTGTATGAAAAATTGTGTATCTGGTAATTGTGTTCCTGAATTACCAGATACAGTGTAGAGAAACTTTGCTTTATTCAGATATGAAGGTTTTAATTTAATCTTAATATTCATATACTGTATCTGTTTTACTTGCCCAAATGTCACTGTGTGATAGTTACATAAACTGATGCTTATGGAGATGTTATTTTGTTTGTGCATGTTTGGTGCATGTGTAAACACCAAACATGCACATGATAACCACCCTCAGTACAAGTCTGAGATCCAACTAGGATGAGCAATTTTTGTGCTGCATCTTCTTTGACAAAATGGCAATGTGAATTTAAATTTTTGCATGGCTGAAATACAGTTTGTGATGGAAGGCAGCATACACAATTTAAAGTGAGGTGACTGTGGATTTGTTGCCTGACTCTAATGATTGCTTTAATATACCACTCACTTGTTAATGATGCTATCAATTATTTTACTGTAAATTAGCTATCATGAGTTTAAGGTCTTTTTGCAATGTCTGTGTTAGGTTACAGGAGCATAAATCAAACTCCCATCTCTCTTTACATCCATAACCATAACATATGGCTTTTATTAGAAAATGTTAAGTGTCTTATAATGTCTTCTTAATGGACAGTGTGTGCATGTGTTGATGATGAAAGCCATCTTCCTTCATGCAAAATATTAATGCATAGGGCCTACGTCTCCATAGATACAAGTTAAAGAATCATGTTTAACCCATGCAGTATCCAGTATACACTTCAGCTTTGCCCAGAATTCATCTCTCTCTAACAATCCTTTTAGGAAACACTGTTAGGGGTAAATCAGGGGTTGGTATATCTACCAGGTATGCATTTGTAATGGTGAATAAACACTATAACATCCACTGGAAGAAAAAAAAAACAAACAAAAACCAAACAACCCAAATCACTTTATAAGATGCCTATTCCAAATGAAAACACTGGTAAAGAATTAGAAAATGGAATAAGACTGGTTATAGATTTTGTCCTGAAATACCTTAATGCTTCCAAGCAAAAGGGTGTTGTAGCCTCTCTCTGCATCCTTTTCATTAGGACAGCATTAGCCATTTGGCTTTTGGACCATTCTACAAAATCTTGGACTAGCACACTGCTTTGACTTGAAATGTGTCTCACCAACAGATTCCTGGGCACCAGAGAGATCTGCTATTCAAATCAACGCCTGCTACCGCTGGGCTGGATTACAGGAAGCCAGCTAAGCCTTTTGAAGGATACCCTCCAGCCTTTCCTCTCCATTTCCATGTTCCCTTGGCAGAAATCAGGGATTTTAAAGCTGCAATTCAACAGCATCATCCTTTCATCTCATGGTAAATATTTTATTATTCCTTTATCCTCCATGCTGTTTAAAGGAATTCGTTTAAAATATTAACTCCTTTGTTCAGGGAGTAAATCTCCAAAGGGTATGCAAACAAGAATCTTTAGAAATGCACCAAGATAGAACTCCAGGCTCTGCTCCAGCTTTCCCCATTCATTCAGTCTGCAGACCTGGTAGCTCCTTGCTGGGGATCTCTGCTCAGACCAAAAGTCTCCAGTATCTGCTGTTCCACCACCCATCCCTGCACGACCCACTACCCCGTCCCTGCATTTCCACTTCTCTTTCCTCCATCAGTCCAATTTGCTCCCTAATCTGATCTCACGTCTTTGATCCTCCTCAGGAACACTGATCATCCTCCCACACCAAAGCACCACTCATTCCTTCCGAGGGCTGGCAGCAATTATGCTGTAACAAAGGCACATTTAAGAGAGGAGTACAACCTATCCAAACCAATTTCTTTGCGAAGGCGTTATCCTTCATCTAATTTTCTGCTTATCAATATGGGTACCTTGGGGTTAATCCTGCTGCTGCTCCTGAAGTAAATGTTTTCTTTACTTTTGACTTCAGGAGCAGAATCAGGCCTTAATTAATGTAATTACCCTCACATGTAATAGCTCAAAAGGTACCTACTTAAAGGAGTCGAGTGACTGTTTAAGACCATCTCTACTCACAGCTAAGCTGTGAACTGCACCAGTGTGCATTCCCTCTCCAAAACAACCGCAGGCACTGGGGGGGGAGGAGTTGTCCTTCAGTAGCCAGGCGAGGAGCCTGTCAAAGAGTGTCCCTTCTACATGAATGAACCCTCTCCTCTGATTAATACTTTGCATTTCCCACAAGGGAAAAGACAGTGAGGAGCTAAGTGAGGAACTGAATTACTCATTCTCAGAGAAGCACGATCATAAATATTTAACACGGTATGTATGAGAAAAGAGAAGTGAACAGACTCCAGTCCAGGCTGAGAAACTCTCCAAATCTGGTCTCCTAGGGACTGCCTGCTCCCATGAATCCTTTCTCCATCTCGTAAAGGGGAGAGAGCTGTTAGCTCATCAGAGGGCTGGACAAGGTGTCTTTACTGGGGGATGACTGTAAGAATCTGTGCATGGAGGGACGTTACCTGGTATAATGCAGATCTCCCTGGCCCGCGAATTGGACCCTGCATCAGGCTGTGGGTTTTTAGAAGCCTGTTAGGAAATAAGGGTCTCTGGAAGCCCACATACGAGCACACAAGCTCGTGCCTTGGTGTCCACTCGTGCCTCATGCATGGGGCCTGCTTGAGGGTGTTAGTCCCCATAGCCCATGCATGATTTTTGTATGGCTACACACACGGATGGCTGCTCTGCTGTGACAGTGGAGATAACCCTGACGATGCCAGGAGGAAGCGGGACTGAAGGGAGGTTCGAGTGTTGTGATGAGGGTGCCGATTGCAGAGCTTACCCTTGCATATCTGGAGGAGTAGGGGTCCTCAAAGAGCGCCCAGATGCGGGGCTGCCACCGTCTCCAGAAGCCCCCGGACCTGCCATCTGGGGAGTCACTAAGTGCTAGGCGTTTTGTCATCTCCAGCTCCTCTTCACCATCGCCAGAGTCTCCGGTGCCATCTATGTCTCCGTCCTCGGCACTGCTATCCAGGGGCGCCCCACCAAAGCTGTCCAGAGCCTCTTCGGCGTCGCGGTGCTGCCGGTAGGTCATCCAGCAGCAGGGCTCCACATCAGTCTCATCGATGCCCCAGAAGGCCAGCTCCTCCTCATACAGGGGCCCGCACACGTCCGCGGGGCAGTGCAGCTTGCCCGTGCGGTAGTAATTCAGGATGTGGGCGAAGACGCCCGGGTGCCGGTCAAAGAAAAACTCATCCGTGCGGGGGTCATAGTCGAAGTGGCTGTGGGCATCGGGCTCGGCGATCCAGGCCAGCCGAGTGCCGGGCAGGGTGCGTAGGGTGCTGCGGTAAGTCTGGTGCCTAGTCCCTCCCACGTTGATCACAATGCGGTCGCTCTCGTCGCCCTGGCCCATCTCGTCTCTTATTAGGCATGTCGCAGACTCATCCAAGCAAGCACGGCAGGCGGCAAGCCCGTGAGGGGACGGCTGCTCGGCGGCGGTCGGTGCCTAGCCCG